TGAGGTCAAGGTTCTCTTCTTCCACCTATGCCCAGCAGGGCCCTCCATTTTTACATATTCAGCTGAAGCCCTGGATCCCCCCCCTAAGTGCTCCCAGGTTGGTGGTTTAGACCCTGGGAGCTGTGGTTGGTTGGTATTGTTGCTCTCCTCATGGTGCCCTAAATCCTTTCAGCTCCTTCAGTCTTCACTCTAACTCCTCTATTGAGAACCCCATGATCAGTTCAATGGCTAGTTGTGAGCATCTGCCTCTGAATATGTCTGACTCTTGAAGGCCTCTGAGGAGACATCCATATCAGGCTCTTATCAGCATGCACTTCCTGTCTTCCACATCAGCATCTACCTTTGGTGATTGCACATGGGATAGATACTCAGGTGGAGTGGTCTTGAGACGGCCCCTCCTTCAGTTTCTGTCCCTCACTTTGTCTCCATATTTGCTCCCTTGAGTATTTTGTTGCTCCTTCTAAGAAGGACCGAATCACCCTCACTTGGTCTTCCTTCTTTATGGGCTTCATGTGGCCTGTGAGTTGCATCTTGGGCATTTCAAGGTTCTAGGCTAATATCCAATAATCAGTGAGTGAATACCATGTGTCTTCTTTTGTGATTGGCTTACCTCACTCAGGATGATAATTTCTAGTTCCATCCATTTACCTAGGAACCTCTCGAATTCATTGTTTTTAATAGCTGAGTAATACTCCATTGTGTAAATATACCACATTTTTTGAATCCATTCCTCAGTTGAAGGACATCTGGGTTCTTTCCAGCTCCTGGCTATTATAAATAAGGCTGCTATGAACATAGTTGAGCATATGTCCTTGTTATATGTTCGAGCATCTTCTGGGTATATGCCTAGGAGTGGTATAGCTGGATCCTCGGGTAATGCTATGTCCAATTTTCTGAGGAACCGCCAGACTGATTTCCAAAGTGGTTGCACCATCTTGCAGTCCCACCAACAATGGAGGAGTGTTCCTCTTTCTCCACACCCTCACCAGCATCTACTATCACCTGAGTTTTTAATCTTAGCCATTCTGACTGGTGTGAGATGGAATCTCAGGGTTGTTTTGATTTGCATTTCCCTGACGACTAAGGATGCTGAACATTTCTTTAGATGCTTCTCGGCCATTCGAGTTTCTTCCGTTGAAAATTCTTTGTTAAGCTCTATACCCCATTTTTTAATAGGGTAATTTGGTTGTCTGGAGTCTAATTTCTTGAGTTCTTTGTATATATTGGATATTAGCCCTCTATCAGATGAAGGATTGGTAAAGATCTTTTCCCAATTTGTTGGTTGTCGTTTTGTCCTATTGACAGTGTCCTTTGCCTTACAGAAACTTTGCAATTTTATGAAGTCCCATTTGTCAATTCT